GCAGAAGGAGGAACAAGTCTCTGCGGAGCCCCCGTTCAGCCCCCATCGGGGTGATACTGTTAGACAAATGTGAAGTCTTCTTAAGCAGAAGTGAAACAGAAACTCAACGTGGGGGTGTTTATCTTAAGAGCAGGGCACTCCCCAGTCACAGAGGGCCCAGGACCCAGAAGACTGACTGTGGAAACAACCGACCTCAGTTTCCACCTCTGGAATTGACATTAAAGAGTCCTAGTTGTCAACCCGTCCCATTTTAAGGCACGTAGACAATAGATAAGGATGAAAACAACATTCAAACCCAACAGTTAAGGATTCAGGACTGATGCCGTTTGGTTGCTAGGCAGTCAGCGTCACCAGTTAAGTCAAAGTCTTCCTTTAGGACCATTATTTCTTGCTTAATCTCGCACTTTTAGGCCCCAAACTCAGCACTGAGCATTTCTTCTGCCTTTCACGGCGAGAGCCGTGTGCAAGCTTCTATTTCCAATCGCACGCAAAAGGCCGTCCGCGTGTCAGGCCTTCTGGTATCTCGGAGCCAAGAATGTGCGGCGTATATTCTCGGGAGCTGCAGAGCATCACTTAACATTCCCCGTCAGGCAAGCGTAACCTAACAACCGAGCAGGGGACACAAACACAGCAGACGGGAAGAGCCGGCTATACGCCACGACTCGGGATTAATCCCATTTCAAAAAGCTGTAACTCTGAACACACTTTGGGCCGATTCAACTTAAGAGATTTATTCAGTTTCAGATCAGAATCAGTATCAGAGATTTCAATTGATTCAGTTATAAAGTCATTTGGACTTGGTGATTTTACCAGTGACCGGTTGACCTGATAAGATGGTTTCCCACCAGTAGCAGCTACTGGTTCTACTATTTGACTATTCATGTTTTAATCTTAAGAAAGGAGCTCTGAGAAGCTCACGGGAACGAAAGCCATCTCAAAAGACAAAATAACACTAGTTCCATCAAGTTAATCTGGATTTGACATGTCAGAGGTCCCTGCTGCTGCCCCCAAGTGGACACTTTTTATTGGCCAAAAAGTAGATGATACGTTTTTCTGTTACATAAACAAAATGGAGAAATGATGATGATAGTGATATTTATTTACAAAAGAAAAGGACAATAAACAAATTGAAGTTCAGAAATTCCAATTAAAATGGTTCATATGTTGAAGAATTATTAAATAAAAACTGTGTTTGTCATTTTTTACTTTCTTTCTGGACGTTTTAAGGGCAGCTGGACTGCATTGGGAAGCTAATTCTTTAGTTTTTAAACATGAAAAGAGTTCA